TTTACAATAGCAAAGACCTGGAATCAACCAAAATGCCCATTGATAATAGACTGGATTGGAAAAATGTGGCACATATACACCATGGAATATTATGCAGCAATCAGAAATGATGAGTTTGTGTCGTTTTAGGGACATGGATGAATCTGGAGAATGTCATTCTCAGCAAACTGACACAAGAACAGAAAATGAAACACCGCATATTCTCACTCATAGGTGGGTGATGAAAAATGAGAACACATGGACACAGAAAGGGGAGTACTAAACACTGGGGTCTATTGGGGGGAAAGGGGAGGGCGAGTGGGAGGGGGGGGTGGGGAAGGATAGCCTGGGGAGAAATGCCAAATGTGGGTGAAGGGGAGAAGGAAAGAAAAGCACACTGCCATGTGTGTTCCTACGCAACTGTCTTGCATGCTCTGCTCATGTACCCCAAAACCTAAAATCCAATAAAAAAATTAAAAAAAAAAAAGAGTGTACCCACAAAAAAAAAAATGTGAAAGATCCCTCTAGAAGAATGATTTTTAAACCAGAGATGATTTTGTTTCACAAGGGATACTTGGGAATGTCTGCAGATACTTTCAGTTGACAGCTGGGCAAGAGGTATCACAGGCATCCAGTGGGTAGACACCAGGAATACTGCTAAACATCCTACATGCACAAGATGTGATCCCTAACTCTTTGTCCCATGTTCATTGTCAATTCTTAATTCTCCTTTCTCCCTGGGAGTTTCTTGTCCTGTGTGTTGTACCTTGCCCTTGCAATGGGTTGCCTCCTTTAGGGCATTCCCAGGGCTCTCGTTTCTCTCCTAGGGCTATCCTTGGTGAAGTATGATCGGCACCTTTGATTTCTCCTTTCTCAGGTTTCTGTGTTCTTTGGCTCTCCCTAAATTATATCTCATGCTGCACCTAAGCGTTTCTTTTTTACTAATACCAGTTTCTCAACCTTGGTGGGATGGACATTTTGGGCTGAATAATTCTTAGCTATCAGGGTTGTCGTGTGCATTGTAGGATGTTTAGCAGCATCCCTGGCCTGCACCCAGTAGAAGTCAGTTGTGACAGCTGAAAAAAGTTTTCAGACATTGCCAAATGTATGCTTGCAGGTGGAATCATCCCCGGCTGAGAACCACTGACTTACGCCAAAGTCTGATTCTGTTCTCTGAAGCTCTGCTTAGTGGCAGTAGTCTGGTAGTCTAATTATTGATAATGGGTTCATGGGTTTTAATACATTTTACTCTACTTTAGCAAGGGCCTTTTGCAAACCATACCCTAATCAAAAACATGGAGGGATTTTTTTTTTTCCAAAGGGGAAGATTTTTTTCCCCTTGAGACTACAGGTAACACCTTTGACACTTTCCCTGCCTAGTTCCCTATACCCCACCTTTCTGTGAAATTATGTCACAAATAAAAACTTTTTTGTATGTGTTCAAGACCATTGGTAATCTCCCTGCATTTCTATATGCAGGAATCATTGAGAACTCTTCCCTTTGCCTTTTGTCCTCCTTCCACAGCCTCACCATCTTCCCTTTAGTGGTCTTCTGGTGGGATTGGGTTTAAAAAAATATTAATGAATTCCAGATATTCCTTATGGACCTTACAAATATGTTCCTCATTTGTGAAAAGGAAAGGAGTAGAGAAATGGCTATCTTCTGTTGCAGATTACTTCCCAAGAGTCTAGCTTTTGCCTGTGCACCTAAAGTCTGAGCAAAGCATTGTGTCTTGTCTTGAGGGGGAAGATGTTCACTCACCTTTCCTGGTGACCTTACTGAGCTTACTGGTACTCCATATATGCAAGCTTTGAAAACTTAGGTGCCCAATGTTATGTTGCTATGAATTTGCCTGGGGTATAGAGTACCATAGAAGAGGTGCCCATTTAATAGCATGAATTCAACATTTTTCAACAAATTGTGACCAGATACTTTCAGAACTGATGCCAAAGGAAACAGAGGGTTTTTAATTTCAGGGATAGAGTGCTGCGAACAGTGACCCTGCAACCTGAGCTACTGATGTGACCACGAGATGCAGAGTAATTGGACCTCACCAGGAGACTAGTTTGCTCCCTTATAGAGAAGTCCAGACACACTCCTTGACCTGTCCCTGCTTACACACCATGTGCCCAGCCACCCTGAGCCTTTCTGCTAGAGTGTTAGTTCAGCTAAATCCATGACACAGAGTTATGGAAGACCAGCTACCATCTACAAAAGACAGGGCAATATAAGTTAGAAAGTCTCTAAACCATTATATTTAAAGTGGGTTTTTTCTAGAGAACATACAGTTGAGTGTAGTGTTTTTATCCATTCTGAGAATTTGTTTTAATTGATGTAGTTAGAACATTCACAAGTAAAGTGATGACTGACATAGTTGGATTAGCATCTGTCATGTTTGTAACCATTTTCTATTATTGCATTTGTTCACCGTTTCTTTTTTTCCTACTTTTTCTCTTGCCTCTTCTGATTTTCATGAGGCATTGTGTATGATTTTTTAAAAAGGAATGTCATCTTCCTACTTCCCTCTCCGCCTTTAAAAGTTTCCCTTTTGTCAAAGTAGCCCTGAAGGGGTATTTAGATTTTAATCAAATGTTATGGAATAAATTTCCTGGTTTGGTTTATATGGGGTGTGAGTATGGGGGTTAACTTACTTAAGTTAGGATATTACAATATCCTAACTTAAGTAAGTTAAGTTACTTAACTTACTTACTTATGCTTTTTGGAGGATGACTTGTGGTTTCTTAAGATGCTGGCTGGGTAGAAGATGTCACAGTGGAAGGGAAGGCAAATTTGAGTTGAGGGTATTCAGGGGAGGGACCAGCATTCCAAGTAGTAGGAAAGTGTGCAAAGGCTGATTCCAGAGGAGCTGTGGGTAAATGTCTCCTTCACATCTAAAGTTGAGTGCTAAATGTGTTATCAATAGAGGTATCGCTGCACAGGGCAGTTGGGTTCTCTGGGGCTGTTACTCTGGTCTTCCATGGTACATTCCATGTGTTAATGGACATTTGTGAGCAAGCCCAGAATCTTAACCTCCATGTATACTTCTCCACGAAAAACGAAGTTGGGAACCGCCTGTACTTTAGAACTAATAAGGTCATTGGAAACGTTCATTTCGACAAGAGCATTGGGTAAGAGAAATAAGTTGCTGAGCTTTCTTCAAATTTCCTGTTTTCCTTATCTTGCCTATATTGTTCTTTTCAGAATTCAAGACTGTTTCCTGTTAATTACTGATTCTAGCACAGTCCTGTTAATTCTTTCTCCATGTGTGGTGGTTATTTAGTTTTAGAAGATTGAAAACATCAATGAATCAGGGTATGATTGGTGACAAAGAAATGATGAAGACAAAGTCAAATGATGTAGCAATGGAGTTACTTGGGGATATAAAAAACTAAAGAACTTGAATTAAAGCTGCTTTGAATCTGATTTGCAAATAATTATATATTTTAAATCAGCTGGCTTTAAGATGCTCCAGTAAAGTCATCCATTCATTCAGTCATCTAAACTCTCCCTACTCAAAGTGTGGTCCACAAGAGGTAAGAGAGCCTGAGTTCGGATTTAGCAATATCATCCAAAAGGGATGATGTGAGGGGCATTTTGGAGATAGCTTCAATAGCACTTTGTAATTAATGGGATGTTGTATATCACTGAGTGGATATCCTGTATAGTTTCAGTAAGGTTAAAATATGATGCTGAAGCTTCATAGTTTAGGCCAGTGATTCTCAAACTTTAATATGAATATAAATCTGCTGAGTATCTTGTTAAACTGCAGTTCCTCATCTAGTAGGTCTGGGCAAGGGATGGTGAGATTCTGTATTTCTTTCCGTCTTTCTGTTTTTTGAGACAGTCTCACTCCATCACCCAGGCTGTAGTGCAGCGGCATGATCTTGGCTCAGTGCCACTTCTGCCTCCTGGATTCAAGCACTTCTCATCCCTCAGCCTCCCAAGTAGCTGGGATTACAGGCATGCACCACCACACATGGTTAATATTTTTGTATTTTTAGTAGAGATGGAGTTTCACCATGTTGTCCAGGCTGGTCTCAAACTTCTGACCTCAAGTTATCCGCCAGCCTCAGCCTCCCAAAATGCTGGGATTACAGGCGTAAGCCACCATACCTGGTCTAGATTCTGCATTTCTAACAAGCTTCCAAGTGATGCCCATGCTGCCAGTCATGGAGCTTGGAATTTAGTACAAGACATAGATAACAAAAATTGTTATGCCAAATAATTTATTGTCACTAACAGGCAGGTGTTTTGAAGGACAGGAATAATCCTCTTATAGATCCTTGGCAATACTGTTTTTATCAAAACATGCCTCCAATTTCCCAGAACTTCATAAAGAACATCAGCTTTACCACCAGTTGTAACTGGGAAGTCTGCTTATGCCCTGTTATAGGAATATTATTTGTCTGTGATGTATAAGTGTCCTAACGTTTCCATAGACATTGTTTTGATATTAAAAACCAAATGAAAATCTTAACAACCATGGTACGTACTAACTCAAGAGGGAACTTAGCTCTCTTAGTTCTGGTTCCCTGGGAAATGGATTCTAAGCCAGAGATGTGCATGCAAGAAGTTTCCTGGGGAGAGCCGTTGGGATCAGTGTGTACGGTATCATGTGTGTGTGTGCGGTAGGTGGAGGAAGGAAGCATAATCAGGGAGTTGGAAGATATGAGCTGTGATAATGCACAAACAAGGCCTCAGCCCTCATACAGGGATACCTGGAGCTGGGACAGTCTTTCAACATTGTCCCACAACAAAGCTATCGTACCCTGCCACCATTGCCTGGGTGCAAGCTGCCATGAGGAATGAATGTGACCATGGGGAGTTCTCTTTGTGGGCAGTTTCCCAAGAAAGATTCAGCTGAGAGCCATCAGCAGCTGGGGATGTACCATGGGGCCCACAGCATTCATGACATCAGCTGATGGAAGTGAAGTAATTAGGAAGATCTCCATGGGCAAACAAGTTGGAGAGGATGGTGGAATTCTCAATTCGTTCACAAGCATGGAAAATCGCCACTGACCTTTGCGGAGACAGGAAGATGACCGGCAACTTATATGTTATCAAGGTGCTGAGATGAAGTAGGCCAGGGTTTTGGAGTGCTGGATCATCAGAGTTCATCTAGAGGCTTTGTAGACACCAGCTGACTTGTAGATCATTCTGCAAGCCAAGGCCAAGTAGCAGATCAGGGCTCTGAGGTCCATAGAGAAAAAGGTCCAGAATCTGAGCAGGTTTTCCAACCCCTGGGAACTGCTGAGCACCTGGATTCGGGTTCAGATTGTAGTTCTCTCCAGCAAAGAGGCACCTAATTGATTGGGAAACACCCTCTGGTCACTATTCCTTCTAGTTATGCAGGTATATGTTTTGGAAACTGTGCAGTTTTGTCTTTTTCAGGCGAATAAGGATATAACTGATTTGTGGTTATAATTGGAGAATGGGAGAGTTAGCCCACTTTCCTTGTCTCGGGTCATGTAACTCATAATCATTTATTCAGCAGCTGTTTATTGAGTGCCTACTTTGTGCCCCATACTACATTAGATGCTGCGTGTACTGGAGTGACCCAAGCAGCCAAGGCTCCTTATGGAATGACAGTGGGATAGGCTAGTAGAGGAGAGAGAGAGAGAAAATAATCACCCAAATAAGGACATTTCCTTAGCTCAGTGAAGGCAAAGGACACTATTAGGGGGTGTATAAAGAGGGTATTTAATTTGGATTTTGAAGATGGAGAAAGACTGAGGGTGTCGTAGTAATTTGAGAGAGATCTCAAGGATGTGTTGGAGCTGGTGAAGATATAGTAAGAACGTGGAATAGGAGACAACGACCTGGCTTGTCTTCCCAAGCTTGTCTGTGACTTATCATGTTACCTTCACACTAAAGACTTAACCTCTTTGAGCCTCAATTTTTTCATCTGTAAAATGGCACGGTTATAAGACTCAAATGAGATAAAACAGGCAAAAGTGTTTTTCAAATCCTAAAACGCTAGTGAAAGCCACTTAAAAAAAAAATATTCTAGCCCATGGATTCCTTCTCTCCCTTCTCTTACCTGTCTCTTCCTCATATTTCCTGAGCTGGGCTTGGATGCTGAGGTTTAGTTAGTAGTAAAATGCTATGTAGTTACCTTCTTTTAGCCTGTGGCTTTCAATGTTTTTGAACAATACCTGGAGTAAGAAATATTTATGTATTGTGACCTACTGCTACTACTACTTCTCTTTTCCTTCCTTCCTCCCTTTCCCTCTTACACACACATGACTGAAAAAATATTTTAGGAAATAATTCTTATTATTTGTTACATACTCTGATATTTTTTATTCCATTCCATTCTGTTCACCAAAAAGTACTAGTCAAGATCCATTAAACTGATGTCACTGCTTAGTAATGAATTGCACTCATAATTTGAACAACATTGATTTAGATAATAAAATACCTGAAATCCTTTGGAAACCTTATAGGGGTCAGGCATTTTTTAAAAAATATGTGTGTGTGGGGGTGGGGGGATGTTGTACAAGGAAATTATTTATCTTTGAGGACTGGTTATTATATGTTCATTAAAAAAAATCTGTGATGCCTATGGCAATGAGACTGTCTCCCAGAGTTGGTAAAGATGTGATGCCTCAAAAGGGCTCTGTATTCCCTGCAGTTCTCACATCTCTGAGTCAGCAAAGAACTGTGGCAAATCCATTAACCATTACCATGATAATACTGCATATCAAACAACCCCCAAACCTCAGTGGCATACAGGATTAAGCATTTACTCATTTATCTAGAATCAGCTGGGGTTGGCCAGAGCTCTGTTATCTTGGCTGGGCTCACTCAGTATCTTGGAGTTGGCTGGCTCTTGGCTGATCTAGGTTGTCCTCAGTGGGAGCAACTGGGATGACTCAGCTCTCTCCTCTTCCAGTAGGCACAGGAATGTACTTCCTTGCACATTCTCATGACAGTGGTGGAGGTGCAAGAGAAGGGGCCAGCCCAATCATGCAAGCACTCCAAGCTTTTGCTGGCAACATATTTGCTAATAGTCCATTAGCCAAAGCCATGTCACATCATTGAACCCAGAATTAAAAATGCGGCAGATGTCTTGTTCTCAGTGGAGCAATACTGCAAAGCTACGTGGCAAAAGAATGTGGAATTAGGAAAGTGTGAATAACTGGGGCCAAGGACACAATCTATCACAGCCTCTCCAAAGAGGTCATTTTCTCAAGTGGATTTCAGATCTGAGTCCTTTGGGATGGGCCAGGAATGTTTATCTGAAAGAGACATCATGTCCTCCTCATACCATGGGTAGATTGTCCTCCTTTTGCCTATTCCTACCTGCAGTTGCCTTTAAAGACCCTCTCTTCCCCAGTATACATCACTTTAGGAAAGTAGACACTTGCAGGCAGCCTGCTTTGCCAGCATCTGAAAGGTGCCTGGGCCTTCCTGCACCCTAGCTACAGGCAACATTTATATTAAGCCATAACCCACACTGTATTTTTTATTTCCATTTTTCAGTTCTTCAGAGGAATGGATTTATAGCATTGTATTGTAGTATTTTTAGTTGTCATGAAATTAGATATCTAAATGAGAGCTTTTAATGAGTAAAGCTATAAGTAGTACAGTATATGTCAAAAATGGCCTTTTGTTCAACCTTTCCCCGAATACTTAGCTCTGAATTTCTAGTTACCTATTGGACAGTCCAACCCACATGTTCCCACAAGCACCTATCCAAACCACTTCTGTGTTCCCTGTTTCAACAAGCTGCACATCATCCTTCCTGCTTCTGAAACAGAGCAGAGAGTCATCTTTAACCACTCATTCACCATCATCATCCCTCAGTTCTTTTTCTCTTGTGAATAATGGCTAGCACCCTTATTCAACCAGACACTGGAATTGTTCTTTATTAATTTACTGGGCCAGGTTCTATGCTAAGAACTGGGGATGTGAGGGTGACTAAGACATGACTCTGTCTTATAGAAGCTCAGTATCTAGCAAAGGAGGTGAACTGTGAACACATAACTCACAATATAATGTGCAGCTATGAACACAGTGTTCTCTTCCACCCTTCCCACATCTAATTGCTCATCAATTCTTGCTCATTCTGCCTCACAAATGTCCCTCAAGTCTATGCTCCTTTCTTTAGTCCTGTGGTCATTGCCATGGATCAAGTCTTTCTACTTTCTTGCCTGGGCAGGGGCAGTAGTTTCCTGGCTGTCCTTCCTATTTTTACTCTTTTCTCTTTTCCCAATCTTTTCCAGCCACCACCCCTGCCATGTGTTGTCATTGCCTAAAATACTGATCTGAATCTGTGATTCCTTGGCTTATAAACCATCATGGACATGGTGGTCCTCAGTAAGTTAAACACAGAATTATCATATGACCCAGTTATTCCATTCATGGGCATATATCCAATAGAATTGAAAGCAGGTATTCAAACAAAAATTTGTAACAAATGTTCATAGGAACACTAGTCACGTTAGCCAAAAGGTAAAAACAGCCCAAATGTCTATCACCGGATTAATAGATAAATAAAACATAGTATAATATAGTCATACAATGGTCTATTATTCATTCATAAAAGTAATTAACTACTGATACATGCTACAACATGGATGAACCTTGAAAAGATTGTGCTAAGTGAAATAAGCGAGGCACAGAAGACCACATCTTGTATGATTCCGTTTATATTAAATACTCAAGAGTAGTCAAATCCATAGAGACAGAAAGTGGATTAGTGGTTGTCAGGGGAGGGGAGAATGAGGAATGACTGCTTAATGTGTACTGGGTTTCCTTTTGGGATGATGGAAATGTTTTGGAACTGGATAGTGATGATGGTTGCACATTATCAATGTACTGAATGTCACTAATGGTGAATTTGATGTTATGTGAATTTTATCACAATAAAATAAATGTATGTCCCCCTATGCCCACAAAACCCATTAGTGATCCCTGACAACCTATAATTTGAGTCCAGATTTCATAGAGTGGGGTTCATGACCCTCATGGTCTGGCCCGGCCTATCGTTTTAGCTTTGTTGCTCCCAAGCATCCTGCAGTCCAGCTCTTCCTGGTGAACTATTAACATTTTTGCTTATGCTGATCTCTCACCCTGGAGTGTTCTGTTCACCTTCTCACTTGCTTGGTGAAATCTAGTCTGGTTCAGATGCCAGTTCCTCCTCAAGGACTTCCCCATACCCCACGCTTCCTCCTCTGTGATCCCATAGCACCTTATTCAGATGATTAACCACCATAAATCATAGTTGAGTGTGTATCTCTAGTTTGCCAGATGGTGAGCACCAGGCAGGGAATATGTCTGATTTGAATTTGGATCCCTATAGCCTTGTGTGTGATGCATAATAAGTTATCAATATTAATTGAATTAAATGACTTAATTACTTAAGTCTAGGTTCTATCCTGAAACTAATGCTGTATCCCTAATCCTTAATTTAGTACTCTGTAATGATCACTATACCTGTGCTTCAATTACAGTCATTTTTGATTACCTAAATACCATTAATTGTCTTAACTAATAACAAATTTCTTCCTAGTTTGCTTGCACTTGCTTAACCCAAGTATTTGTTTTTCTGGCAGTTTGAGCACTCAGTTTACTTTCACCTGTTCTCAAGTTTGCTGACAGTGCAGCTGATGTTCTCTTCTCTCCCTTTCCTACACAAAGTGCCTTGAAACCTCAACATTTAGCCACTTTCCCTGTGCTCGGGTAAGTGTGACAGAGGGTGAATCTTTTACTGTTTTATTAGAGGACCTTTGTGTCTTAGGATGACATAGTTTGCAAAGAGATTCTGAGTAGTTAATCACTAGGAAAAATAGTTTTTCTTATTTAATCTCAAGTCAAGGTGTCTTCATGTGTCATTATTATTTTTATTACCTTTATTATTTTTTCAAGTGACAGATATATTTTTCTTATTAATTAAAATGCAATTACAAAATTTTAAAAGTTATATTGAAGTGCTTTTAAAAGTTTTATATTAACCATCGATACTGCTAGTGTCGAATTTCAACATAGTAAGGGCTGTTAAAGTGTTTTTGAATGTTTTTCTTCAATTAATTTTAAAAGGGCCAATGTTTAAATATTGTGTGTCCTGAAATGCCACTTTACTTGAGAGCCTTCCTACATAAAAAACAGATTAGTTAAGATTTAGGAAGAAATTGAAGGTACTATTTTAAATT